CAAAAAAAAAAAAAAAAAAATCTCTTTCGTGAAGATATGAATATAACATGTGTGCATACAATTTGATTTCACAAAAGCCAAACCCTCAAACAAAATATCTATGGGAACCCAAATGATGTAAATAGATAAAACAGAAGCAAAATTCCAATATAAATATGAAAATAAAAGACAAAGTAATAGAAACAATAAAAACGTCATAGTAAGAAGACATGAGACTACATCTAAATGGTGCCCCATCACAGTAGTGTCATCATCATGAATAGCTAGTTTTTTTATAAAAGGATATCTGATGGGATTTCATTGACAGGGACAAAGGGGAATGGTTGGAATTCAAGGAAGGTGGTGCTAGTATTTATGTGATTCTGTCGTGTCATTTGCAGAAAACAGCACAATAGGGAAAGTAGAGATTTTTGTCAGTGTTTGGTCTTGTGTGATTCCTGGCTTGGGTGCAGTGGATTAGGGGACCTTGCAAAAAATTATTCAGGTAAGATTTGTAGAGCTTGGAAAGTGATCATGAATCAGTGCATGGAACCTAGTGAAGCTTTTCTGCATGGGGTCAAACATGCTTTGTCGAGGGCTTTCCTGTCAGACTGGAAAATCAATTACTTGAGAGTATTTCTACTATCTTAAAAGGATGAATATTTCTATAAAATTATGTGCAGACTAAAATACCCGTTCTCAGACAATAATTCAGTAATTATGTCAGAAATTAAAGTAATATCTCTACATCAGTTTGGTGCCTCTTCACCTCTTCATTGATTTAAATTCTTATTTCTTCACTGTCGAATAGTTGGGAATAGTTGGACAGAGAATTACATAGGCCACACATGGAGATGGAACGAAAAAACCCAGCCTAATTTGTTGAATATGATTTTTTTATGAAAAAAAAAAAAAAGCTAAGTACGGTTTTTTCATTGTCCTAAGATTGAAAGCAAAATTATGAATTTTGAAATTTATCATTCATAGTGAAGGAAGAATTTACATCTTTAAATAATTTATGTTTAATGCTTGGATGGAAGATATGTCTGAGTCTGACAATGCATTGCAAATATCATTTGAAAAAAGGAAGATAACCCTCTTGATCAAATATGTTAATTTTTTTTTCTTTTTTTTGGGAAATAGTTTTTGTTGATTTGTTTCTAAGTTCTCTGAAATATGACTTTACAATCATTGTGTTTGTTAGTTCTAGTTCTTAAAATTTAAAACCAGATGCATTGATATTATTTCTGTTCATCTTTTTTCTATTATTTGTGAGTTGCTACAAGAGAAAGCTAATGGAATTCCAACTTCAAATATGCACCTCTGATTCCTAATGAGAACAATCAAAATGAAGAAAAAAAAAAA